AGTACAAAGGTACTATCATGGACAACCACGTCGTTCAACAAATCCTCCGGAAACGTTTACCATTTTGGCGGGCGACAGAGACGGTACGTTTTGCCGCCAAATTCCCCCATCGCCACTGTAGAAAGGGGCAGTCGGATTGGGTGTCAGCGCGTACTCAGATCGACGTCATTTGCCGATTCGAATACAATACCCAAGTTAATCGCAGCGTCGTAACCTGAGTTAGTAAACAGAGTGGCACGGCTTCCGCGCGAGTCGAGATTGTGCTTGGAGAATTCCATGGGCCACGAGCGCATCGACCTTCACTCGGTCGCCAGCGATCTTGCGATCCATCGCTGCCACCGCCGCAAGAGGAAGAAGATCCACGCTTGAGCGAGATCCTCGTGTCTGCGGTGGCGGAGCCATCGGTGCCATCTGTTGAGCCTTTTTCGGCCATCATTTGACCCAAAGCGATTTGATTGGTCGAATCGCAACCATCGAACAAGTGATTTACGTTTCCCCAGTTTGCCTTTTGCCATGTCCAAGGTCTCGAGCGCCAAGTACGCGACCTTTGCGCCCAAGCCGACGGCGCGCTCCGAGCGCCACCCAATTGAGGACGCAGGCCTCTTCAAGTGGCTCTTCTTCTACTGGGCCAACCCGCTACTGCGCACGGGCAACGACCGGCAGCTCGACCCGGACGACCTCTGGCCGCTCCAGGACGCAAGCAAGTGCGATGCAGTCGTCGCGTCGTTCGACCCGGCTTTCAAGCAAACGCGGTCGCTCCTCAAGACGTTCTTTCGCATTTTTGGCTGGCGTTTCTTCTGGATCGGCTGCATGCAGCTGCTTGCTGTGCCGTGCACCTTGTATGGCCCGTACGTGCTCCAGCAGCTCCTCGAGGGCATGAGCGTGGGCACCGACTCGATGACGCTCATCACGTACGTGGCCTCGCTCTTTGGTGTCCAAGTATTTGCGGCGCTCCTCGCAGTGCACATGGACTACCTCGACAAGGTGATTGTCGTGCGCTTGACGTCGGGTATCCAGCACCTCCTCTTCCAAAAGGCGTTGCGCCTCGACGCCGCGTCGCGCAAGGCCAAGTCGGCGGGCGAGATCTCCAACCACTTTACGTCTGACATCAACTGGATCATTGGCATGAGCTACTACACCAACTACCTCTGGATCTTGCCCGTCCAGATTGCGATCACGCTCTTCATGCTCTACTCGATCATCTCGTGGGCGACCTTTGTCGGCCTTGGCGTCATCCTCCTCGTGATGCCCATCACGAACGTGCTCGTGAACCGCGGCCACGAAGCCTTCGAGACGCTCATGGAGCAAAAGGACGCGCGCATGAAGGTCATCAA